GTGTGAGAAATAGATTGGATGGAGGGATAGAGGGGGAGGGAGGGAGTGATGGAGATAGATAGATGGGGGGGGGATAGACAGGTATGGAGAGATTGAGACGGAGGGAATAGAAGGAATAATTACATCACCCCAGCCTCTTCCCCTCCTGCAGGATCCCAAAAGGGTCCACTGGCCTGAGATGCAGCCACCTCTGGGGCGGAGCACGGGGCTGTTTCTAACGCCGCCGCGCAGCAGAGTAGGTCAGGATGTGACGAATTCCCGCTCCCAAAGAAAACGAGCCCAAGTCACAGCCCAGCGCCCCCTGCTGGCCCGCCGCCCCGCTCCCTGCAGCACCAGGATCCCCCATGCAGGTGCTGACGAGGTCCAGCCCCCCTTGACATAGGCGAGCTGACCGGCCCCTGGCAAAGCCCCCCGTACCAGCGGGCAGGGTCCCCCGTTGGGTGCAGGCTCCGCCCTCACCCGCTGTAGGGTGACGCTGTAGATGGCCCCGTCTTCCACCTCTTCACCCCACTGCTGGAGGGGCTCCTGCAGGGGGAGAATAGACCAGGCCATGGGCCCCCAACACACAGAGATGGGTTCTGTCCCCAGTTCTGGGAGGACAGTGGGATCTAGTGGTTAGAGCAGGGTGGGGAGCTGGAAGCCAGGACTCCTGGGTTCTCTCCCCAGCTCTGCCACAGATGCGATATGTGATTCCGGGTGAATCCCTTCACCCCTTGGTGACTCAGTTTCCCCCGCATATGATACCACCTCTCAGAGGAGCCTGAAACCTGGGGGATGCAAATGCAACTTCTATAGGTTTCTCCTGGGGGGAGGGGGAGGATTAAGGGGTCCCCTCACCCCACCCCTGGTGCAGCCATCAGCCTGGGATGCTGGCAGCTCTGGGGCTGAAGGATGGTGGTGCAGTATGGCCCCTCCCTGCAGGCAGCCCCCGGCACTCCACCTGTGCGCAGCAGCACCTGGCCCTCCCCCCGCCCCTACAGGCTGGTGCTGAATCCACATCCCTACAGAACAGATGGGGAAACTGAGGCACGAAGCAACTTTGGAATAGACTAGAGCTCAGGAGTCTGGACTCCCAGCCCCCTGCTAAAGGGGGAGGAGCAGGGGCCACCCACTGAACAACCCACCCCCCCCCACGGGGGGGGGGAGAAGCGGGCGTGGCACGTGGGGGGGGGCAGAGTGCTCTGGGGCTCCAGCTACCCTGAACAACCCCCCATTTAAGGAGCTGGAGCGGAGCCGCCCAACCGGTCCAGCAGGGTCAGCCTCCCGCAGCCCCACCTCCACAGCGCCACAAGGGGCCCTGCTGCCCCTGCCCCCCCTCCACCCTGGCCCCCCCACAGCACCACGAGGGGCTCTGCTG